AAAGCCTAAACAAAAAGGCACAAACAGTTTCCAGTGGCTGGGAGTCGCCAAAGCACCGCCCGAGGCACCGGCCTCGAACTCGCAGCTTGCGCCCGGCATCCAGACTTGCATCGAGGCCACCACTGGGGTTTAGGGTTTAGGGTTTAGGGTTTAGGGTTTAGGGTTTAGGGTTTAGGGTTTAGGGTTTAGGGTTTAGGGTTTAGGGTTTTGGAGGTTTAGAGTTTTAGAGTTTTAGAGTTTTAGAGTTTGCGGTGTTTAGGTTTTAGGGCTTTGCTGGTGTTTAGGGGTAGGGGTTTAGGGGTTTAGGGGTTTTGGGTTTTGGGGTTTTGGGGTTTTGGGGTTTTGGGGTTTTGGGGTGTTGGGGTTTAGGGGTTTAGGGGTTTAGGGGTTAGGGGTTTAGGGTCTCTAGGGTTTGGGGGTTTAGGAGTTTAGGGGTCTCCCTGAAAAGGGTTTCGGGTCTTACCCAATACAAGACCTATACAAGCCTGCAAAACTCGAACCCTCAGCCCTAAACCCCCGCGGCAGGCTGCACTGGGCACGGCCTTGGCGGGCATCGTCACGCTGGAGAAACTGCAGGCGTTTGGGGTTAGGGTTTAGGGTTTAGGGTTTTGGGGTGTAGGGTTTAGTGGCTTCAGGGTTCGGGGGTGGGTTTGGAAAGGGTTCAGGATTTACAGGGTGTCACCGCGAAACTGCCTGCCTGAAGGCAACTGCACCTGGGTTTTGCTCCATATACCCTCAACCCTAAAGCCCAAACCGCAAACCCTAAACCCTAAACCTTAACCTTAAACCCTACTCGTAGGGTCCAGGTTTCAGCAGATTTCCGTCATCCGCTGATCTTAAAGCCCCGAACCCTAGGCACCCTCCTTCTGTGCCAGGATGCCAACTAGTACCCTTATGCCTTTTCAAGCATTATATTAATTATCATCCATTATATACCTAATGAAACCAACAAGGGGCGCCCTTCTCCGTGCTGGAACACTTTCAGGGCGCGCTAGAAGGATCCCTGGGAGGTTGAGGGTTGGGATCCCAGACGAATCACCTCTAATCCTCCCTTTCACGTTAAGCTTGGAATCCTATGTCCATATAGGTTTTACCAGTCTAAGGGTAGTCTCATGGGCCCTGTTTATGGTCCCTTACCCTCCTTAAAAGGGTTCTAAAGTATGGGCCCTTGGGGTATATATTGGGGTATATAAGGGGTATGTAAGGGGTCCCCTTTTAAGGGCCCATATTAAGGGACCATGTAACTACCCTAAGAACCAGTAGCCCTTCTGCAGTACATCGGTCGACAGTTCTATGCATCGGCGCTCTTACCCACATGGGTGTTTCCGAAAATTGTGGTACCCTTTTGGGGGTCGATAAAGGGATCCTGTTCTATCTCGGATATAAAAAGGGGTACCCCTATCTTGGGAAATGCCCACATGTCTTGGGGCACCTCACGGTGAGTCGTCGGTCAACTTCGATGCCCGCATGGCCGTACATATGAGGACTTTGGGCTGCGTTGCTCCAAACCTCTAAACCCCTCTAGGGTAAAGGGGTTATGGTTCAGGGTTTAGGGGTGTAGGGTTTGGGGTTAAACAGCCCGACACCCCTAAACTGAAAGACTGCTCTGGCCACGGCAGAAGCTGCCTGCAGCCTACCGTCAGCGACCGCTGCGCCCATCTCAGCGTCAGGGTTTAGGGTTTACAGTGTAACCCTAAGCCCTAAACCCTATAAACCCTAACCTTAAACCCTGAACCCCAAACCCCAAACCCCAAACCCCAAACCCCAAACCCCAAACCCCAAACCCTAAACCCTAAACCCTAAACCCTAAACCCTAAACCTCACAAGCAGTTCAGTTTTCGGGGGGTTGTGGCACGCAGCGTGCGCCCTGCTTCCCTGCTTTGATTTTGGTGTTCTTTGGCTCCCGCGTAAACGACTTCAAACAAGCAAGAGTGCCCAGGTTGTTTTTTGAAGGTTTAGGGTTTAGGGAGGGTTTCGGGTTTAGGGTTCAGGGTTTATTGTTTAGGGTTCAGGGTTCAGGGTTTAGGGTTTAGGGGTTAGGGGCAGGGGGTCACGTTGAGACACTCTGCACCTGAAATCCCTGCAAACTCGGCTCCCGAACCCATGTAGGCCCTTCAGAGCCCAAATCTTGAACCTAAACTCTGGTTTTAGAACTCCTTAAACCCTCCCAAAGACTAAGGGTGCGGCTACGCGACAAGCTCCAGCAAGAACTCTACCTCCTGAAGGAGGCGAGCCTGGTCGGAGGGTTTCGAGGTCTCATCCTTTTGGGGGTCTTGCTGTTTCAGGACCCTAAACCCTAAACCCTAAACCCTAAACCCTAAACCCTAAACCCTAAACCCTAAACCCCGACTTGGAGCTTCATGTATACCTGTGCGAAAGCTGGGGTTTCAGGTTTAGCGTGAACCTTGTGGAACGGATGGCTACCCTCAGCTTCCCCTCCCCATCGGCCCCCCCTCCCCCCCTCCCTCCATACCCTCCCCCTTCGAACTAGCCCGCCCCAAACCCGTACCCAGAGGCCGATAACCCAAATGGCCCCAATTCATGGTGCGGTAGGTAACTTCCACCCCCGAAAAAAGGGGGAAGCAAACAACCCTTAACTAAACCTTAAACCTCAAACCCTAAACCCGAAATCCCACCTAGGAGCCTGCTAACCTCTGTTCCAAAGCCCGAAAAAGAAGAGTCAGGATGCTGGTTCACGCAGTGTACCCGGCCTTAGGATGCTGGTTTAGGGTTCAGGGTTGCGGGTTATTGGCCATGTCTCTACAACCCTTTAGAGGATTCCTAGGTCACCTACAAAAAAGAGTAGGCTTTTCGGGCTCTTAAGGATCGGTATGAGTCCCTAAGTACCTTCTTAAGCACGCAGACTATGAAACAACACCTGCTAAGCCCCTAAGCCCTCAGCCCCAAATCCGGAACCCTAAGCTCGAAAGCCGCAACCCCAAACCCCAAGCCCCAAACCCCAAACCCCAAGCCCCAAACCCCAAACCCCAAACCCTGAACCCTAAACCCTAACCCCTAACCCCTAACCCTAAACCCCAAACCCTAAACCCTAAACCCTAAACCCTCAACCCTCAACCCTAAACCCTAAACCCTAAGTCCTAAACCCTAAACCCTAAACCCCAACCCTAACCCTAACCCCTAAACCCTAAACCCCAAACCCTAAACCCTAAACCCTAAACCTTAAACCCTAAACCCTAAACCTTAAACCCTAAACCCTAACCCTAAACCCTAAACCCTAGACCTAAACCTTTAGGGTCAGGGTTTAGGGTGTCTAGCTCCTCGGGGTTGCAAGACTTGTGGGCGCAAGACAAACAACCCCTAAACCCTAAACCCCAAACCCTAAACCCTAAACCCTAAACCCTAAACCCTAAACCCTAAACCCTAAACCCTAAACCCTAAACCCTAAACCCTAAACCCTAAGCCGCCCCAACTCCCCCTCGCGCGCGCAGGCACCGCGAGATAGGCCCCAGGTTCCGTGCATCGATGCGCTGAAGCAGATCTTCAGGCCCCACTGTGGTTTTTGCGGGGTTTAGGGTTTAGGGTTTAGGGTTTAGGGTTTAGGGTTTAGGGTTTAGGGTTTAGGGTTTAGGGTTTAGGGTTTTAGGGTTTTAGGGTTTTAGGGTTTTAGGGTTTTAGGGTTTTAGGGTTTCGGGTTTAGGGTTTAGGGTTTAGGGTTTAGGGTTTAGGGTTTAGGGTTTAGGGTTTAGGGTTGTCTTGGGTGTGAGATTTATCGAGCCGGAAGCGTTAAGCCAGAATCCACCACACGCCGGCAGGGCTAAGGGTCGAGGCTTTGGGGTTTAGGGTTTAGGGTTTAGGGTTTAGGGTTTAGGGTTTAGGGTTTAGGGTCGCGGCTTTGATTGGGTGTCTTTCTTGTTAGTTCCGGTGCTTTATTCTCGAGGCGGCCCCCAGCCTACCTTTTAGGATTATGTGACTCTACCCTGGACTCCTGAGGGTGGTACCCTCAACCCTAAACCCTGAACCCTAAACCCTAAACATTATGAAGATCCTCTAAGGGAATGTAAGGCCATGTTAGGAGTAGAGTTTAGGGTTTAGGGTTTAGGGTTTGGGGTTTAGGGTTTAGGGTCTAGGGTCTGAGTGGGTTTAGGGTTTAGGGTTTAGGGTTTAGGGTTTAGGGGGTACACCCTTAAGGGGTCCGAGTCTGACAGCCTCCCTGGGAGCCCAGTTTAGAGCGAGTCTTGGGTCGCTTCTGGGTTTAGGGTTTAGGGTTTAGGGTTTAGGGTTTAGGGTTTAGGGTTTAGGGTTTAGGGTTTGGGGTGTAAGGCTTAGGGTTTAGGTTTCAGTTTTGGGCCTTGGGTTTGCGGATTGGCGGTCATGTTTTGTTTGGTTCCGAACTGCTTAGGCTGCGAGGTTTCGGGCTGGTGCGAATTGTGCTTCCTTCAAAACAGGGGAAGGGCCGCCCCTAAACCCTAAACCCTAAACCCTAAACCCTAAACCCTAAACCCTAAACCCCTCAAAACTGTGGAGGAGTTGGGTTGTTTGTCTTGCGCCCACCCTCAAAAGTAGGGGGCTGGTGCCACAGCAAGTCTTGCAACCCCGAGGAGCTATACACCCTAAACCCAGACCCTAAAGGTTTAGGTCTAGGGTTTAGGGTTAGGGTTTAGGGGATAGGGTTTAGGGTTTAGGGTTTAGGGTTTAGGGTTTAGGGTTTAGGGTTTAGGGTTTAGGGTCTAGGGTCTAGGGTTTAGGGTTTAGGGTTTAGGGTTTAGGGTTTAGGGTCAAACCCTAAACCCTAAACTATCCCTAAACCCTAAACTCAGATCAAGGAGTGGCTCAGAGAAGCTGGAGGGCAAGGGCTTCTTTCGGAACGGTTGTGGGTCGCCTGCAAACGCTACGCTATAGACCTGAGCTTCCCAAACGGCACGAAGGGTTTAGGGTTTAGGGTTTAGGGTTTAGGGTTTAGGGTGTAGCCAGCAGAGCTTCTCGCACTCCACTCGGTGTCTCTGTGCCTCTGCGGGCTTGCGATCTCCGCGATCAAGAGAATGGCTCCCAAGGCCTGCAAGAGGAGGAGATTTAGGGTTTCGGGTTTAGGGTTTAGGGTTAGGGTTTAGGGTTTGGGGTTTAGGGTTTAGGGTTTAGGGTTTTGATTGTTATGACCCTCAGTCCCCTATGTCGTCGTTAAAGCCGATAAGATGTGATTTTTACAGGGCCCCCAAACCTACCACGGTTTGGAGGTTCTGGACTTGCGGGGGGGGGGGGGGGGGAGTGGGAATAGTTTCTAATAGCATGGTTCCTGGTTTACTTATACTTGTATTAAAATCCAAAACCCCATTCTAATTCTTAGGGCCCCTGTAGTATTTAGGGCTTATAGGTTTTAGGATTTAGGGTTTACGGTCGAGGGGTTTGGGGTTTAGAGGTTTCGGCTTTTGGTGGTTGAGGGAAAGGCAGGATATTGCAGGAGCACTGAAGCACAAAAGAAGTGATAATTAAGATGCATTTTTTGAGAAATTTGAGAATTGAGGCTTTGTGGCTTTGCAAATTAGCAAGTTTGGCTTTGTGTTGTGGGGTTGTAGGGTTTAGGGTTCAGGGTTCCTTTCTTTTCAACGGCCTTGTGTTTGGATATTTGAGCCGGGATCCGTTTTAGCCAAATCCGAGCGCAAATTGAAACGGTGTTCAGCACTTCTTGGGTGCACGCGCTGGGTTCGAGACGGCTTTACACAATCTAGTTCCAATATGTATATCGATTTGTAGGACTCTGCGAGTTGTGTCCTACAATTAGGTTTGTTTGCTTCTCGGTTCTTGTTCTAGCTGCTGCAGGCAAAGCGAGTCATCAAGCTCCACAGGAAGAAGCTAGGATGGCTTTAAAATATTTCATACTGCCCTTGTCTGGGTTTATAGGGGACCCTATACCCTAGAATCATAGAATTAGCAACCCCAAACCCTAAACCCTAAACCCTATACCCTAAACCCTAAACCCTAAACCTTGAATATTTGTGTATGTTTCACAGGGTAAAAAATCCAAACCCAGGAAAGTGGAGATCTCGGAGCGCACCGGAAAGCCGAAGAGAATCCGCCATGATCGGGGGGCCGAGGCGGCGAAGCGCCAAGCGAAGATCCTTGGGTTTAGGGTTTAGGGTTCAGGGTTTAGGCTTCAGGGTGCCCCAAAAACTTGGGATCATGTAGCAGACATGCTACGATATTTCCGATTAAGGCGCACGGACCCTAAACCCTAAACCCTAAACCCTAAACCCTAAGCCCCATTTGCTCCCCCCAAGGATGACGAAGGAGGAGTGGAAGCGCTGGCAGAATCCGAGGGTGGCTAAGGAGTGGTCGCGCCCCGAGTACGTGTTCGAGCCCCGCGCCGCCAACGCGATCCTTGGGTTTAGGGTTTAGGGTTTAGGGTTTGGGGTTTGGGGTTTGGGGTTTTAGGGTTTGGGGTTTTAGGGTTTAGGGCTACCAGTTTCCCCTTTTTTGTTCAAGGCTCCCTTATGAATGGTTTTAGGGTTTTAGGGTTTTAGGGTTTAGGGCTACCAATCTCCCCTTTTTTTGTTCAAGGCTCCTTTATTTTTGTTCAAGGCTCCCTTATTCTAATGTGGTTGCTGGGCTACCTACCAAGGATCTACGTGCGGGATGGTGGAGAGGGGGCTTACAGGGACAAGACGTATGAAATCGTCACGCGCTGGACGGCTCAGACTCAGATCCGCTACCGTCCTCATGCGAAGTCGCCTGGCTCGAAGAGCCACCTGAGATACCTGGTAGCTGAGTGAGTACACTTTACACCTTTTGGGCTACTATAATCCCCTTAGAGAACTGAAAGCGTGCCCTCTTTGGGGGCTTCTGAACCCTAAACCCTAAGCCTTAAACCCTAAACCCTAAACCCCAAACCCCAAACCCTAAACCCCAAACCCTAAACCCTAAACCCTAAACCAACTAAGGATATGAGCGCTACGCCAAGGCGAAGACTATCGGTCAGTCGCTCGCCTTAGGCAGCAAGCCGATCGACTGGTGCTACGACTTCGAGCATGGCTTCATCAAAGTCGTGGGCGGCAAGGTCCCATAGGGTTTAGGGTTTAGGGTTTAGGGCTTAGGGCTTAGGGTTTTATAGTTTCCACTCCTCCGCCCCCCCCCGCCCCCCCACCCCCAGGCCTCCAAGAAATAAAGGCACGCGCAAGGCTGACTATAATCGCACAAGGCTCAAAACTTTGGCCCTAGTTGTACCACTACTGAAAACAGACTCTGAGCCCGACAATAGTCTGCCATTTGCGGCTTTGGTGAGGGTTGTTTGGCGAGAAGCCATTAGCTGCATTTAATGGCCAACGACTGGTGGTTGTTGGGGGCCAAGGAACGGGTGGGGGGGCTTCCGGAATCGAAACCCTAAACCGTAAACCCTAAACCCTAAACCCTAAACCCTAAACCCTAAACCCTAAACCCTAAACCCTAAACCCTACACTCCAAACCTCAACCCTCAACCCTGAACCCTAAACCCTACTATGAACCAGGTCCGAGATGAGCCCATCGATCGATCCAAGATCGAAAGTGATGACGAGCTCACCGCGGTGGACCAAGCCATCATGCGCTGGTTCATCCGGGAGCTGGCGAAGCGGTACAACTTGAAGGCTGCTGCTTGCTTAAGAACATCCTCCCAAAAAAAGAAAAAGGTAGAATATGAATCCCTATACTGCCTTATACGACATGATCTGTTTTGCTTTTGAGTTTTTGGGGGGGTTCTGAAGCAAATAGTCTGGCTGGTTCTTAGTAGGGAGTGAGGGAATGAGGGCCCTGTATATACCCTTAAAGAGTATAAACAGGGCCCTCATTCCCTCATTCCATACTAAGAACCAGGGCGTAGTAGAAGGTTTCGGACTTGCGGCTGGAGCATGGTGCAAGCGAGAGCCTCATGATGCGAGCCCACCGGCTCGTGGCAAACCGTCGCGCTAAGGCTGGCAGTTCCTGGACGTTTCGGGTTTAGGATTTAGGGTTTAGGGTAGGGCTAAACCCCCACTCGCGATGTTCTTCCGAGACACGTTTTTTTTCCGGGTTGTGCAAGGCTTCAAGCTTTAAACCCTGAACCTAAAACCCTAAACCTAAAATCCCTAAACCCTAAACCCTAAACCTTAAACCCTAAACCCTAAACCCTAAACCCTAAAGGGTTGAGCGGGGTGTCTTCCTTCATGGATTTCATCCTCGAGGCTTTGGGCTTTGGCTTTGGCACGGTGTTTCATCATGGGTTGCCCTATACTACCCCCTCTATACCCCCCCCCCCCCCCCCCCCCCGTTTAGGGTTTAGGGTTTAGGGTTTGGGTTTAGGGTCCCCCCTGTAGGTTCCCCCCAAGATAACCACAAAATTATCCCTAAATAGGCTTAGCGATGGGAACTTAGGGGGGTAGTAGCCCTGAACCCAGAATCCTAAACCCGGGGTAGTTTTGAGGGGGGTAGTTGGGGAACCCATGATTTCAGTGGTGTTGGGGCTCAGGGTTACGCTTCGGCCGCTCGGAGATTGCTTGTTGTGCAAAGCAGTGAAATTCAGCGGTTCGAGTGGTGCGGTTTGATTTGCTGTGAGCATCTCGCGAAGTACGCTACTCCCCGAGCTTGAACCCTACTACACCCTACACCAAAACCCTAAACCCTATAAACCCTCCAACTCTAAAGCCTATAAACCTCCAAAACCCTACACCCTATAAACCCCCAAACCCTGTAAACCTACAAACTCTACAAACCCTAAACCCCAAACCCTAAACCCTAAACCCTAAACCCTAAACCCCCCTGGAGGCCATCCTCGACAAGAAGCGCCGCATCAGTGACGACGATGTGGAGAACGTCCTCCAAACATGGGCCTTTGCCAGGAGCGTTTGGTTTTAAGGGTTTAGGGTTTAGGGTTTAGGGTCTAGGGTTTAGGGTTTAGGGTTTAGGGTTCCTGGGGTTAAGGTTTTTACTCCAGTATGCCCGAGACCCCCAGAAATCGACCCCTACAGTGCCATTTTAAGGAAGAGTATTTGTTGAGTTTTTGGAGGGTTCGTCAGGCATCGTAGTGGCTTAGAGAGCAGCATTTCTCTGCCCAGAGGGTTTGCAGTTGGGCAGTGTGTGAGGTTGAAGGGTTTAGGGTTCCTAGGAGTCGTGCTCGGAATTTTCAGGATGTACCCCTCAGGAGTTCCCTTAATATACTCCTCATCGGGCCCCTACGTTACCTTTGGAATCTTTAAAACCTTAAACCCTAAACCCGAAACCCTCAACCCTAAACCCTAAACCCCAAACCCTAAACCCTAAACCCTAAACCCTAAACCCTAAACCCTAAACCCTAAACCCTAAACCCCAAACCATCCCTAAGCCCTAGACCCTAGGCCTCAGAGCTCCGAAACCTGGAGACCCAGGGCCTAGAGACCCTTAGTCCGAAAGCGCGCAGCTTAACCTGAAAGTAGACCATTTGTTCGCTACAGCCTTTCATCTTTCCGCCCTTTCAATCCGAGGCTTTCCCTAAACCCTAAACCCTAAACCCGAAACCGTAAGGCGGTACCCGTGACTTTGGGGTCCCTAGCTTAAGGGTAGCCGACCTCCTAGGACCCAGAGTAGGCCCTTACTCTTTTTTTTCGGTGTAGGGTTCCCTTCGGCCCCTTTAAACCAGAAAGGGCACCCAACCAGAAAGGGCACCCCTTTTATTCCTAGGGTACTCCTGGGTCTAGCCTCCCCTAAACCCTAAACCCCAAACCCCTAAACCCTAAACCCTGAACCCTGAACCCTAAACCCTAAACCCTAAACCCTAAACCCTAAACCCACCTCTTGGGCAGGAACATGGGCCGGCTGAACGTCATGCCCGAGGGTCAAGACTGGGTCAAGTCGGACACTTTGGGCTTGCTAAGGGAGCCTTGATAGCCACAGTGGTGCCCTTTTGCTTGTTTAACTTAGGGTTTAGGGTTTAGGGTTTAGGGTTTAGGGTTTAGGGTTTAGGGTTTAGGGCTTAGGGTTTAGGGTTTAGGAACATGCTGCCTAAAAGGATCGAATGGGCAGCATCCACGTGACTAAGCCGACCTCTGCCTACGTCTCCGTGGCCAAGATGTTGAACAAGTGGTTGCAGCAGCGGCTCCCTAGCGCAGCTGCCTCCTTCAAGTGGACCTCGATCCTATATCCGCCTTGGGAATCATTTTAGGGTTTAGGGTTTAGGGTTTAGGGTTTAGGGTTTAGGGTTTAGGGTTTCAGTTTCTGTTGAAAAAAACAAGTCCAAGAGGATATTGGAACTACTAATTTTTATTTTTGTTTATATAAACCCCAAGAGAACATTAGACATATAATTTTATTAAGGTTCTAAGGGGGAGTAGAGGATCAACCTGAACTGCAACTACGCAGCCCGGCGACACCGCGATGCGAACAACTTCGGCCCTTCCTTCATCCAGGCCTTCGGAAGCTTCTAGGATGGCTTTTTGGGATATGTTATCATTTCCTTATATGGGTGTATAGGGGACAAAATACCCTAAAGAACAAGAAATATACATATATATATATATAGCCCTAAACCCCAAACCCTAAACCCTAAACCCTAAACCCAATGTTTGTACAGAAACACATTTTTTTTTTGGGGGGGGGGGTTAACGGCCAACCCAGGCTTCACGGGGGGCGAGCTGAGTGTGTGGCCGGAGGATGACAAGTCCACGGGCCTGAGTGCTTTGCCTTCCTATGCCAAGCAGACGGTGGACATCAAGCGCAACCTTGTCCCTAGGCTGCCCATACTACCTCTTCCCTTTTGGTAGGGTTTAGGGTTTAGGGTTTTAGGGTGGGTTTGGTTTAGGGTTTAGGGTTTAGGGTTTAGGGTTTAGGGTTTAGGGTTTAGGGTTTAGGGTTTAGGGTTTAGGGTTTAGGGCTTAGGGTTTAGGGTTTAGGGTTTAGGGGGTCCCTTTTTCAGACCCTTGTAAGCCTAAGCCCTCAACCCCCCTTTTTTTCCTATTCAGTAATTACTGGCGGCGGACAGAGGTCCTCTTCAACGGAAACACGGCACATGAGGTGAAGCCCTTCAAAGGCGAGCGCTTCTCGGTGGTCTACTTCTGCTGCTTGTTAGCCCAGTCAGGTACCCTTTTCCCTTTTTTTTAAAGGGGGGTTTTAAGGTTCCCTTATAATAAGGTATCCAACCCCAGAAAAAGGGTGCCCCTTATTAGAAGATGGTATACTGGGCTACTGAGGCTGCGGCTGCCATCCTCAGACACCGAGGCCCGTGGCCAAGGAGCTGAAGGACCTGGGATTCCAGCTGCCCTCTGCGACAGAGGAGCGTCACAAGCTGCTGTCGAAGCCCGAAGGCTATGGCAAGAAGGACGGGCGCTTCTATACCCTATTAACCCCCTTAAAAGAAGTGGCACTTTTTATATCATAGGGTTGATTATGAGGATTAGAAGGCCCAATAGCCCCTCATGGTATGGCAAGAAGGTCACAAGAGTCCGCAAGACCGTCCTCAAGGTCTTCCCGGCGAAGAAGTGAGCTGCCGCAATATAGGGGTCGGAAAATTACTAATCGTATTCCTTTGTAGTATACCATAATAAGCCCCCCCCCCCCCCAAAAAAAAAAAAAACATGCCCTATTCTAATTATTCAGCCCCCTATATTCGCAGGGTCCTGCGCCGCCCTAGAAGGAGCGGCTGGTGCTCGGTCATGTCTTTTGGGGCTGCTGCCGGTTCAAGACGTTTGCTAGCCGCCATGACGATGTCTGGTAGTTATATTTGCGATCGCTGCAGGGGTGCTTCCAGCGCAAGGAAAACGGTCTTCGCATAGTTTTCCCCCTGCGATGCTGCAGTGGGGATCCTCACGCCTTCTGTCCTCTGGAGAACACTACACCCTAAACCCTAAATCCTAAACCCTAAGCCCTAAACCCTAAATCCTAAACCCTAAACCCTAAATCCTAAACCCTAAACCCTAAATCCTAAACCCTAAATCCGTAACCCTAAACCGGAGAGTTCCACATCTTGTGCGGCCCATACCCTAAACCCCAAGCCCGAAAAGCCAGGCTCCTAATTGAAGCCTTAACGTTTGGAGGTGTAGGATTTCGGGCAACGGGTGGCCTATGGTTTGCGACCTGTGTTTCAACGAGTTGATCAAGTCGGGTACTCTAAGCCCGACACCCTACACCTAAATAATGCCCTAAACCCTAATACCTAATACCCCAAGCCCTGAACCGAACCACTTGGCCAGTCATTTCTACGACCGCCTGACGCTGGCGGGCGATCGGCCGCTGCCACAGGGAAATGGGCTCTCTCTCTCTCTCTCTCTCTCTCTCTCTCTCACTCATGGGGAGGCATAGCAAAACCCATTTGGAGGAGCATACAGGTGTAGGGTTTATAATTTAGGGTTTAGGGATTAGGGTTTAGGGTTTAGGGTTCAGTTTAGCCCTGAAGACGATATTCGGCGGCCACTCACGACGTTGCAGGGGCACAGACGGACACAAAGCAACAAGTGGGGCCGCAAGGGAACATACTGCTTGGGCTGTTGGCTCAGAGGTTAGGGCTTAGGGCTCAGGGGTTAGGGCTTAGGGTTTAGGGTTTAGGGGTTAGGTTTTAACTAGGGTTTAGGGTTTAGGGTTATCTCCATACGCCTGAAACTCTACATGTGATGGTTGCAAATGCATCCTTTCGTTTTGTTATGCGGAGTCCGGCCGTAACTGGAATGTACATGGGAATGCTGCTGTAGAACAGCGACCGCGCCCACGCACACATAGTCATCATCACAACCCCCGAAGCCCTAACCCTAAACCCTAAGCCCGTGTGCCACAATCTCTGAACCGCAAAAGGCCCAACACATCCCACAAACCCATTAAGCCTACCGAGCCTGATGCCGTACTTGACATGGTCACGCCTGTAAATTAACCTCTTCTGGGGTACCCTCAAGAAAACTACGACTTGCCCAGGAACCTCCCTAAAACAAAAATCACATAAGCTAAACCCGAAACCCTAACCCCTAAGCCCTAAACCCTAAGCCCTAAACCCTGTTGAGCTCAAGCAGCCGGCGGCACAGGCCCGTTCTTGCCAGTGACACGATCATGATGCAGAGCTACCGATGCCAGGCGAAGCTCCTAAAAGAGAGATTGGCTTTGGGGGTTAGGGTTTAGGGTTTTGGGCTAGGGTTTAGGCTTTAGGGTTCAGGGTTCAGCGTTCTAGGGGTTTCAGGGTTAAGGTTTTTGCGCTTGGTGCAGCCTGCGCCTACCTCATGGTGCATAGAAACATGCCATTTGGCCTGCCTGTCGCGACGACAACGCAACACCGCTTGGGGTTTCGGGTTTAGGGTTCGGGGTTTAGTCCAACATCTGCGCATCGCATCTTGCACGGACATGGCCTGAGGTTTAATGTTGACCTCTACATCGGACATCCTCAAGTTCGATTTCGGTGAGACCTTTTAGGGTTTCGGAGGGTTTAGGGTTTCGGAGGGTTTAGGGTTTTGGGGTTTAGCTAAACCCTAAACCCTAAACCCTAAACCCTAAACCCTAAACCCTCGAAGACTTTCATGAGTTGCGTCCCGCTCTAGGAGCTGATTGGAGGTTCATATAGTTGCGCAGTTAAACCCTAAACCCTAAACCCTAAACCCTAAACCCTAAACCCTAAACCCTAAACCCCACACTGGAAATCCCTAAGCCTAAGCCCTATAAACCCTAAACCCTAAGGCATAAGCCCTATAGACCCGAAACCCTAAACCCTTTTAAAACCTAAGCCCGGTTTAGGGTTTAGGGTTTAGGGTTTAGGGTTTAGGGTTTAGGGTTTAGGGTTTAGGGTTTAGGGTTTAGCTTAACCCCTAAAGCCCTAAAGCAAAACCCCTAAACCGTAAACCCTTATAATTAACCAAAACCCTTAAACCCTAGACCCCAAAATCCTATAAAGCCTTGGACCCTACAAACCTTATTGGCCTCCCACACATTCGGAGGTGCTCTCGACGTTGCTGGACGATGCGGAGGCGAGGAGCTGTCAGGTTTAGGGTTTAGGGTCCAGATTTTAGGGTTTGAGCATTGCTAATTTTGGGCTTGTATGGGCTTATTTTGTTAGTGCTTAGTGCTTAGAAGGCTTAGAAGGTTTAGGGCTTTGGGTTGTTGCGGTTCTTGGGTTTGTGATGTTTGCGGAACGATGGTTGGTGTGAAATGCACGCAGTGCGAACGACTTGAGGGCCCTGAAAAGGAGTTGTTGGCCGCGTCCATGCTTGGGTTTCAGGGTTTTTTCTTAGGGTTTCACGGGGCTTTAGGGCTTTTAGGGTTTGGGGGCTTTAGGGCTTTTACGGGGATGTAGGGGTTTTTGTTTTTTTGTTTTTGGGGTTTAGGGGGTTTAGGGTTTAAGCTTCTGGGTGGGCGAAGGCTCATAGTTTAGGGTCTATAGGATCAGTTGCGCAACACGCCACACAAGATCACTTGCATGACTTTCCCCGAAGAGGGACGAAAGGGGGAGGCCGAACAGTTCGCCAAAATGCGAGCGAGCGGCTGTTTGCCGTAGCACATCGAGGACTACTACAACAGCATTCCTGACGGACGAGGGCCCCGAGACAAGCCCAGTGTGAGAAACAGGCTGTTTGTGTACGTTATGAACACACAAGACATCATGTACTAAGAGCTCGCAAGCTGTGTGCGACGAGAAATGGGGGGGGGGGGGGTTTCCGAAATTCGGGGGGTACCTTATTGGGGTTCTCATAAAGAGGGAATCCTACTATTCGGGGGCTATTGTAGCGGTCCCTTATTTTCGTAACTCCCAAACACAGGTTTGCCGCGTCGGTTTTCATCTGTCGAAGGTCTGCTTCAGCTCTTGCGTCGCTATTGTGGCAGACTCTGTCTTTATAGCGTTCTTAAGGAAAGGCGGATCAACCACCAAGCCTTCAACCCCCAACATCGTCACCCTACACCTGAACCTTGAAAATCTGTAGAATCATAGAAACCCTGAGCACTGGAACCGCAACACCCAAAACCCTAAACCCAAAACCCTAAACCCTAAACCCTAAACCCTCAAAAGCAAGGCCAAAGCCAAGGGACGGCTTCGCGAGGCCGCCTTCCCAGCCTCCGAGGCAGCTGGGGGTTCCTAGGGTTTAGGGTTTCGGGGTTGGGGTCTAGGGTTTAGGGTTCCGGGTTTAGGGTTAGGGTTTAGGGTTTGGGGTTTAGGGTTTGTGGTTTGGGGTTTTGGGTTTGGGGTTTGGGGTTTGGGGTTTGGGGATTGGGGTGTAGGGCTTAGGGTTTAGGGTTTAGGGTTTGGGGTTTAGGGTTTGGGGTATAAGGTCTATTGGATTAGGAACACCAAAGTCGCAATCCATGCTTCTCAAGCTAGGGGCCCCAGGATAGACTTCCAAGCGGAACCCTAAACCCTAAACCCGAAACCCTAAACCCTATGCCCTCGCCGGGTTTAGGGTTTAGGGCTGCTAAGCCCTAAATCCGACCCTCAAGCCTAAACCCGAAGCCCTTTAGGGGTGATGATTTCCGACCCATGAGAAACTAAAGCCTGGTTGAAGCCCTCCTTCGCCAAGTCAGAACAGTGGGGGGCCCCTGCTGATCCTTCTGAGCTCTTGATCTTTCACCCCCGAACCCTAAACCCTAAACCTTAAACCCTAAACGCTATACCCTAAACCCTAAACCCTAAACCCTAAACCCTAAACCCTAAACCCGAAGGCGTCATCTCAGCTCGCGAAGCTGCGCGAGGAGGAGCGAAAACTTCTGGAGGCTCCGGTTTTTTCACCTGGAATTTCTGACCCCCCCGACCATCAGCCTTAAGGCTCTGCGGTTCAGGGTTTAGGGTTTAGGGTTTAAATAGGGTTTAGGGTTTTAGGGTTTAGGGTTTAGGGTTTAGGGTTTAGGGACATTCAGGGTGTTCCCGGACATCACAAAGTCTGAACGCAGAAGCCCCAAAATGAGACCTACACCTACAACACCGAACAAGCGAAGTTGAGAGGGCCTTTGAAAGGAATTGGAGCGGCATTCAGTAGTCCGATTCTGGTTTGATGGATTTGGGGTGTGGGGGGGGGGGGGCGTGAACTCCAGCCGCTCTGGGCTTCTGAATTTTAAGAACTTAGAGGAGAATTTCAGGGTCTGGGTTTTGCGGGTTTAGGGTTCATGGTTTAGGGTTTATAGGGCTTAGGGATTTACGGTTGATTTCCAGGGCCCTGGGGGAGGTGGGCTTTGAGCCAGGCGGACGTCAGCGGTGAAAGCGCCAACGATGCCAAGATTGCAGAGCTTGCGGCCAGGGGCCCTGGGACCCTAACCTTGGGATGTTCCCCCTAATACTAGTAGTACTTAATGGGGATTAGAGTACCCCTTATTGCAGTCCTTATGAAGGACTGTTAGTAGGGGAACGTCCCAACCCAACCCCTAAAAGCCCTAAAGGGTTTCGGGTTCAGGGCTTAAGGATCCTATAAGACCCATAACTAAGCCCTATACAGCCTACACCCTCAACCCCTGAACCCCTAAAACCCGAAAGCCTCAACCCTAAACCCTCCACCCCTCAACCCTTAAACCCCTTAAAAGCCCCCAAA